GCGATCGCGATAACGAGTAGTCAAGTCGATCGGTCTTTCCTGCTGTATGGGGGTGAATTTGGAAACCAACTCCCTCGAGCCTTCTCGTTTCTTTCATCCAACGGTCGATAAGAGTTCCGTCGAGTATTTCGAGGATTACATCGATATAAGTAATCCGTGTCCCCGGCGGTCGGAAACAAAATTTTAAAAAAATGAAATAACTTGGAAACTTCACGTCGACTTGTTTTCAGTGTTGTTCACGATAATAGTTTCGATGATTAAAATTAATCGAAATAATTATACTTAATTGTTTAGATCTTGCGAGAACAAATTTTCTACGATATAATTTTAATATTTCCGTCGAAGACTTAAACTTATTTTTCCATCGTTTGTCGCGACAGATTAATTTCTGCGAACTGTCGAGAATTTTTCTTTTTTTTAATATTCGAAAAGGAAAGTATATTTGGAGTCTGAGCACAGAGAGAGGAAACGTTGGAATATATATACGTAGAATAGGTGGCAGGAACTCGTACAATTGTATCGTCGCATGCGATTCACGCGTGCACAATTACGCGACATTCGGGACGGAGGTCTGTCGAAGACATTTCGATTAACTTCACCGCGGGAGCGTTCCGGTTTTTCTTTCTTCCAGGGTTGCCAACCCTGGAAAAGGTTTCGACGAAATAGCACGATGAATCGAAGGGGGAATAGAATTGACAATTATTGCGATCCTTCCCAATACGAAGAACATTATCGGAGAGAACAGCATTGAAAGAGATTCGGGGGCGAATATTAAAGTCGTCCTCGTGTATTTTGGAGAACCAACCATTGTCTCCGGAATGAATACCATGGAAAAAGTCTTGCAAGTTTCTCATTTCGCTCGCGACGAAGAAGACGAGAGAAATGCTCCTAGCGTTTTCCATTCTTCAAAGAACACGCTTTCCCCTCCTCCCTTTTTTTTTTCTTCTTCTTCTTCTTCTTCCCTGTATCCCTTTGTCCAGCATCGAAATGAGAAAGCTTCTCAATACCAAAAATCAAGCAGCGTCTCGTCAAAGAGAACGCATTTCTGTATTTTCCTTGGAATGGAATGGACCTCCAGATCTGATGATATCAGAATTTCGAACGAGACGAAATCGTTTCTATAGATGAAACTGGCGATGTTCCGATGTTTGCTTTGCCTTTCGTATTCAATTCAACGAGCATAACTAATTAATTTGTCCGAGGTATGACGGCCTAACCGAACCCCCATTTAATCAAGTAACACTTCAACTCGTGAAACTTGACAGACTGCTCATTGTCAAATCGCTCACTGGACACGATAATTTCATTCGAATGGCGGAAGCAGTCCCTTCCGGCCTTCTCTTTCTTTCGACGGTTAACGGTTCGTTACGGTTCGAACGAGCGGCTAACCTATCGAGTTTTTATGCCAGAATTCATTCCGCGAGAATGGAAGTCGAGAAAAAAACTTTTTTCTTTCTTTCGTTCTTTCTTTCGTTCTTCCTTCCTTTCTTTCTTTCCTTCTTTTTTTCTTCGAAAAAATTTCTTCTTCGAGAATTATTTATCTTCATTGTACACGGGGGTGGAATAAGATTTCGATGAAAAATTTCGGCGGTGGCCGATTCAGTATTCGAGTACTGAAAACGGTCGTGGGGCGCATCAAGCGCCACAAAATGCCTCCTCCCTCCCTTTCCTCTCCTCTCCTTCCTCCCCCACCCCTAATCGATATGAAAACTGGCCGGCGCGGCGCTCTTCCTCGTGTCGTTTTGCGACACGCGTGTCGGCGTGCGCGCACACGAGCGCGGGAGAAACAAAAAAACGCGCGGGACAAAGGGCCCGGAGAGAGGAGCTACAAAGAAATTAGGAAAGAAATAGAGGGTCGGAGTGGTTGCGGAACAGGCAGGAACAGAGCAAGGGACGAAGAAACTCGATGGAGACGCGCGCGCTAGATCGAGAAGCGGAAGGAAATTCACGCGGCAACGAATTGGACAGAGAGAGAGAGAGAGAGAGAGAGAGAGAGAGAGAGAGAGAGAGAGAGAGAGATGAGGGAGAGATGGAGGGATCGCGGCGAGCGTGGGACGAGGCTGGTGACGAGGGGGGTGAAAAAGGTAGAGAGGTGAAAGAAGAGGTAGAGAAAAGACGAAGAAAGCCGGCACTCCCACACAAAAATATCACCGTTAACGATTACCAACCCCTCTTTTCGTCCCGCGCGCTCGTTATATTGTGTCCCCGCCGCGCGCGCAAATTTAGAAACAAAAGACGGGTGGAAGGCGCGGCCTGATTGGCCGACCGGTCCGCGACTCGTCTCTCTGATTGGCCCGCGGGACCGCACCCATCCTGCAATGGCCGCTTTGTCGTTTCACGGCGCCGTTACTCTCTTCCTCTCTCTCTCTCTCTCTCTCTCTTGCCCACCCTCCCTCCCCCTCAACCTCTCTCTCTCTCTTCCGTATACGCGGCTGTACGCTTCAGCCACGAAGCTTCAACAACCCCGTGAATCGCGACTCGACTACGGTACCTACCTACCTACCTGCCTACCCCTTTCCCTCGAGTCTCTTTTTACTCTTCTTTTCCCCTTTCTCGCAATCTTTCTCTATCTCTCTCGCAATCTCGCGCTCCTTCTCCGTTCACCTAATCGATGCATCTTCCTCGCTCTCACCTTCCCGTCGTCGTTTCTTTTCCACCTCTGGTCCCTTATCTCCTCTTTGCGATTCCTTTGCAAACCTTTGTTGCGCGGACCACTACCATCCAATTGTCTCTCGAGTTATATCAAAATGTACAAGATATATCAATATATAATCGTAGAGATCGAAATGTAATAAAAAGCGATAATGTAATATAAAAAAGTACTAAATTGTTTATTAAATTATAAACAATTTAAATTTGCGTTGAACGAAGCGAAGCGGAGAATAATCATCTCAGAATTGATTCTTCGTGGAAAGATGTTCCACGAATATATTAATTACGCCTTAGTATCGCGTAGTTCAATACCACGCATGCGAGTGTATTGCTCATTTATGCACGCGTGAACCTTAACACGCGCGCGCATATCCACGTGCCACCACTGTACTTGCAACTCGGCTCGAAGGGTTATATTCCGAAGAGAATCCGAATTCACTTTTTCTTCCCTGTCCCGAGAATTTTCCCCGACAGTAATGTGAATTTTTTGTAAAGATATACGCGCAAATATGTCGAAAGATGATGGAAAGATGATAGACCCAAGTGTGGAAGGGTAAATGACGAAGAGGAGGAACGGAGAGAGAGAGAGAGAGAGAGAGAGAGAGAGAGAAAGGGGAAGTTTGTCCCGGGTCCGCCATGCGGAAACTATCTCAGTCTGGTACTCGACGAGTCCACGGTAACTAACCGTCAGCCCGGGAAAATTCTCCCTTTTATAGTCGCGCCTTTTCGACTTGCCATTCTCCACCCGCGACAACCAGCCACCGCCGCACCCCTTACCACTTTCATTTCTGACTGTTCTTTCGCCGCTTTATGCATACTGTCGATAATTCCGCGTGATATCATCGAATGAGTTGGCATTTGTGATCGGGTAAAAGTCGCCCGTTGGATTGCCGTAATTGTTTCGAATTGTTCTATTTAACCGTTACTTTTGCCTACCTCTTTTCTCAAGGATTCATTCGTTTCAATACGTAATTTCAATATGATAAAATTGATTTTCGATCCCTGGGAGGAATATCGGTTTTTCGTTTAATTCGAAGAATATCTCGAGAAGAAAGAAAGATTTTTCGACAGATGTTTTCTAAACGTGTTGTAAACGCGTCTTGCGATAAATAATAATCGAACGGAGCGTAATAAATTTCATTCCTCCGACGAGGTTAAACGACGTTGCTTTGCCGTCCAATTTTTCAGTTTCAGCTTATCGGAGAGGATATATAAAGGGACCGGGGCATCTTTGTTACATTATTATTATTATTATTATTATACATCAATAACGTATGAATTTATGGAATTAATTGCCTGGGACGGTAATTTGTAGAAATGTAACTAACACCGAATACTCGCTAATTGATAATGATTCTCTTTGACGAACGAACGCGCTTTAAATTTGTTTGTAAAATCGTCGCGCGTTGTTGTCGCGCCGAGCCCGAATTTTCAACGATAAAACGACACCCGTTGTAATTGCATGAAAACGTATTGGACCTTTATATTTCCACTGATTATACCGTATAATCGTCACGGGCAGCACGTTAAATTTTCCAAGAGTACGTTACGTTGTTAATTCCCGTTAATGAACAAAATTATCGTTAAAGCAGATTGTGGTTTTAATAGCGAATTATAGGCGAAATTTTCCGCAAACATTCGAAAATTATTCAAGAAACGAAAGCTTGAACGTGACGAAAAATGAAACTGGCCGTTCGATGTAGTTTCCCGTCTTTGCAAATTTTTCACTTCAACGGTAAATGAAGTAGAATTATATTATATGTTAATTTAATAGATAAATTATGCGAACAACGCGCACAAGATACATCGTGTCCCCCATCGAAAACAATCATTTTTAATTTACACGTAGTAATTCGTGCGAGTGAAAATGACTCGGTTTAATCACACCAACAATCTAATCGTCATTTCCATTAATTAATTTAACTATAATCCTTGAATTTTTATGGTCCAAGTTTAACGAACAAGGACACTTTTTTTCACATCTCGATAGATATTTTATCATAAATGTTTTTCAAACGAGAAAACAAAAAAAGAAAAATAATATTTAACGATAGAAGAACACAAATAATTGGAACTTGAATAAATCATCAAAGTATATCTCGATGGTCAGTTCGAAAATGTTTCGCCAAATTATTAACAATACGTAAATTTTCGAGTGGCGAAATATCAGAGAGGTTGGAGAAATAAGTCGTAGCTTTTGATCAATTGCATCGCGTTTGACGGAATCTCGATCGCGCGATGGAAACTCGATACGGCTGAGTCGCGAATATCAGAAGGAAATGGTATCGAAGCCGTCCGATTGGTAGGTCAGAAGGTCGGATTTCATAGGTCTTTTGATTTTCGCTCACCTGTATCCTGTCTTCGGGCAGATCGGTTCGAAGGCTGAGCATCTCGCGAGCGTACACGTCGGGATAATGGGCTTCTTTGAAGGCTGCCTCCAGCTCCTCCAGCTGCTGTGACGTGAAGATCGTCCTGGAGCAACAACCGTATGAACCTAGTTATATGCCATTACAGCTTTTCCCTTAAAGCTAGCCTACACTCGAAGGAAAAAGCTCGCGTGGTGTGCGGGAGAAGGAAGGGGGAGGCGACGAAATGAGAAATATTTCACGCAAGTAAAATTGCTAGGGACAAAAAGTTGATCGTTATCGAATAATCGTGGAGGGGGGGGGAGGGGAGTAAACAATTTCACGTGGATTCGCAATGGTCGAAACGAGATTAAATTCTATACATTTTCACCCGAAACGAATTTCGAGGGAATCAATCAACGTATGGATAAATCTATCTTTTGTGCGGGGCGAATTTATTTAAAAACATATTTCATAAATTTTACAATGAAACATTCGAGTCGTGAAAAATTTTAATTTGCGCACGTTTCAATTTATGGGGTTATAATAAATTCCTTCCGTTCGAAAAACAATTTCGAAAGGTCTCTCCCTCGACTCGTCAATTTTTTAATCTTTCCCACGGATTGATAATACCGTGGGAATAATCTTACATGGCCGTGATGTAATATCGAACGTTTGAATGGAATCGATCTCTACCGAATAAATATATCTTTTAACGATCAATTTAAGCCCATGAATTCGTCCATCTGGTATACAATTATCGCGGAACGGTGATTGCATTCGGGTTGTCTGTCACTTGAAAATAGCTGAAAACTCATTATCGGGGGTGGTACTCGTCGATTACACGATGAAAAGTCTAAAATGATATATTCGTTTGGAATAAATTTATCATTATCGACGAACGAAAATCACTGAAACGCGGAACAAGTTGTCTATTCGGGGACCCGTGTATAATCAAGCGAAAATGCATAAGAATAGCTCTCAACGTTGCGTCGAAAATTTTGCCACTGGTTATTAATTATTCGCGCGTATTTCTATCACGCTGATTTCACATTACGCGTCGATCAAAATTTTTCCTTCTTTTTTTTCCTTTTTTTTCCTTTTTTTACTTTTTTTTTTTTTTTTTTTTTTTTTTTTACAATGCGCGCGCCAGACTGAATTAATGGCGTCGTTTCGGAAATGGCGAAAAAATTCGATGCAACGCGAACGATAAATAAATAACAATAAAAAAAAAAAGTAAAAAGGAAAAAAAAATTGAACGAAAAAGAAAAAAGAAAAAAAAAAAAAAAAAAAAAAAAAGATTCGGGTGAGACACTCACCTATGACGACGCTTCTTCTTCTTCTTTTTGCTGAAACCGGAGAGACCGTCGACCGTGAAGTCTTTCCCGGATTCTATATTGTGCCCGACACCTGTAACAAGATCGTTAAATTTATTTAATCTCCGGGAAAATATAGCGGATAATACGTGAAAATTTTTTTCAAAACTAACGATGTCGTGCGTTAAACAAACGCATAATACGTTTGGATGAAATAAGCTTGGATAATTTGCGGCTGTATCCTCTTCCTTCAAAAAATCATCATTAACGCGAACCAATAATCCATTCGATCCCGGATTGAAGCGGCGCGCATACATCGGGGATCAAATTACCCATTATATCCGATTTTCCAATAAATCGAGACCACGCGTATTCACGCAAATTGTATCAAATGAGTGGTCTACGAGTGCGCGCAACCCCTCTTCTATTTCCCTTGGTTAATAGTTGATGACGATCTACGATAACTCGATGAAAATATCAAAATTTCGCTGAATCTATCTTTTTCGACCTCTCGAGCTTTCTCGTTAAAAAAAAAAAGCAACACGTTTCTCGATAATTAAAAAAAAAAAAAAAAAAAAGAAAATTTGAAATTGCCAGGCACGGCATTAAGGGTGGATGAAAAGGCGCGGAATAAGGATTCGGAGCAACCCAAATTCGCGTAACCGTTTCTCATGTTCCAATTTCGCCCTTTGAAGCATCGGCACGCAACTAAGAAGCGCAAAACGCGATTCTATTTTTCCATTTATTCCTTTGTCCACCACTCGCGGCGTCGCATTTAAAGCATTATCCACTCGGTGTACACGGGTGATACAAAAAAAAAAAGAAAAGAAAAGAAAAGAAAAGAAAAGAAAAGAAAAGAAAAGAAAAGAAAAGAAAGGAAAGGAAAAAAGAAAGAAACGCAATTAACGGACGTGGACGTGGTGCGCGCGTTTCGATCGGAAAAACTCGCTCGTAGAACGTAATTTCCACGCGCGCGATATCGACTGTCGCAGCGCGGACTTGACACTCGATATTCCGGGAAAATACCCGGTAAATTTATTACCGATAACGGAATTGCGAATGGTTCGATGGAACCGCCTTCAGCCGGAGGAGAGGGAAGAATTCAAATCGAAAATAAAAAAAAAAAGAAGAAGAAGGAAAGAAACGAAGAGGAGACGAGGGGGAGGAAAAAGAATAATTCGAGAAATCTTTGTTGACCAGACCAGATCCTGGATGGATTTGAAATCGTCTGAGAAATCTGAGATTGCCAGATTTATAGAAAGGGGAAAAAATAGCGCTTGCGCGTGCACACGTGGAAAAGAAAGAAAGAAAAAATTTCTTCCCTTTTTCTTCGTATTTTTCTTCTTTTCCCTCTTTTTTTTTTTATTTTTTTTTTCCCCCTACCTCACTCGTGACTCGACAATTTGTGCGTGCTTTGCAGGGTAAATGGCAATTTTGTACGGGCGAGGAGAGGCAGGAAATTAGAAAGGTTGGTCGAGATGGCAAGCGGATAGGACCCATAGCCCGAAAATAATTATCAATTATAAATTAATTTCGAATTAACGAGCGAAAACCGGCTCCGTGGCGCGCGCCGCTTCCACAATGAAACCCTCTCCCCGGGGCTAACTCGTTACTACAGTTGTTGCTACCGTTGCCAGTCGCTGGTGACGCTACTACCGGCAGCTAATTAACTATTAATTAAGAGCTTAATTCCAATTATACGTGTTCTTCGACTAATTGGACCCACGAAACACATTGCTGACGTCACGTGGCTGCACGGATACGATTACTCCGCCCCCATCGTCCTACTTCTTTCCGCCAAATTATTTCTATCGCAACTTCTCCCTTACGGCTAGCAACCCTTTACTATCCTACTATAGTAGATTTAATTAATTACTAAAAGTATTTGGATACTTTTATTTTATGAAGAATACGAAAGAAAAGGTGATATTTGTATAAATTAGAGATACGCTTACGAGAGAATTTATAATGGAAAAGCGAGAGAGAAAAGAAATGGATAGAAAGTATTATTGACTTTAATATCCTTTATAAAATCATTTTCTGAATACGCTGATATTTCATTGTCGTGCAATCCATTCCCAGAATGCAAATCCGCTGCTGAAGTTGACACCGAGAATTGCTTTGGATAAATTGTCACGCGGTTGACGCGAGAAATAAAGTCCTTCACCGTAGTTGAATAAAAAAGAAAAAAAAGGAGCTAGTTTTCCGAACGTGTGAGCACCGAAAATGCCACGAAAGTCTGTGAAAAGAAAGGCGAAAGAGAGGAATTCCGACGAATTTTGAGTCGAACAGTTTCGTAAACGATGGGCGACGTAGAACACATGGCATGCGAAAATAGCGGAGGCTGCTTTTAAAATGCATTGTTAATCCTTCCTTTTTCTTTCCGCGCCACTGTTGCTACTCTCTTGCTTTCACTCGCGCTGCATTTCACCGCTTTTTCAAAACGCTTCCCCAAAGTCAAACGAGGGAATAGCTTTATAATCATTGGCGAAACTCGCTCGAAAGAGGTAAAAAAAAAAAAAAAAAAAAAANAAAAAAAAAAGAGAAAAAAAGAGAAAAAAAGAGAAAAAGAGAAAGAGAAAAACGTCAGGAATGAAAAGAGTATCGTTTTTTATCCCAAAATAAAATATATTGTGCAACATTTGCAACGTTGTTGTTCCTTTTCAAATAATATTTCTCTGTTCATTAGAGATTATCTAATCTTTTCCGAAAGAAAAAAATCGTATCACCCGTTATTTATCTCCTCTCTTGAAAGTTTCGCAAGAGTTTTGCAATATTCTTGGTACGTAATTATTTAACCAAAAGGTATAGTCGATGTTACTTACCGATGTTACGCTCTACGCGAAGGAAAGTATTCCTGCTGGATCGTCACGAAGACGAAGAACTTAATGAGGAAGCGTCGGGCGCATTCAGTCGATTCAAGCAAATTTCTCGCGTGCCGGCTTAATTTTATCCAACATTTCTTCCCCGCGCATACACGCGCCTCTCTATACGTAACCGCCTTCCGAGCGACGCCTTTTCCAACCGTTAAACAAATTTCGCTCTATTTACTCTATCAATCTAGTCTCAAAAACGTGACTTGAACTGTGATTATATGTGTACTGTGATTATCAATTTAGGTCAAAATTATTTTGATTAAAGCAGAAGCTACTGACTGAAATGAAACGACGATTCGTCGAATTCGCGGAAAGAAAATATTGGAAGAGAGATCCGTTCCTTCCGTCGAAAATTGGAAAATTTTTCCACGGAATACGCCGAAAGCCGATTTACGTGAAAGAAAGAAAAAGAAAAAGAAAAAGAAAAAGAAAAAGAAAAAAGAAAACGGCGGAGCCGAATGGAAAATAAATATTTGAGACTCGACTGCGCGCAGCTTAAGACACCGAGTATGGAGTTCGCGCGATGCATTGTTTCACAAGATCGTAGAGAGGCCTCTTTACACCACCCCGGCTCCGCGTTGCTTCCTGCTCCCGGCTTTTTAAGTACGCTTATTTACCGCAAGCCGTCGAACCAATCGCTTTGCACGTTGGAGGACGTAAGTAACTGCAACGGATCTTAATAACACGAAGAAAATGGTGTTGCGACGCAACGTCCTAACTAATAGAAAACGTCGTGGATATTGCTTCTTATTGCGCGCTTATTCCCTTCTTCTTCCATAGATATAACAATAATGGAGCACCTGTGTGAATTACAATTGTTAAAGTCAAGTCGACCGATTTGTAAGAACCAGAAAGGAGATAAAATCTTGATAAAATTTGAAAGATTAATAATTTTTTACACGTGTTTTAGAAAGAAAGTCTCGTCGGCATAGATCTTTTTCGAACACATTTTCCATTTAAATCGAAGAGGTTCGATTATTTCGCATAATAAAGTGAAAGAAGAAAAAAAAAAAAAAAANAAAAAAAAAAAAAAAGAAAAGAAAAAGGGAGGCCTGGTTTCGAATATTTTTCGTATTCGTCACAAGGATTCCTTGGCGTATCCTTGGCGTGAGAATGATCGATATTAGACGCGGCAGGAAGCGTCAGGATGGCTAAGTAGGAGGCTGTAACCGAATCGATTAATCAAATCCAGTTAGCTATTACGGGACCAGCGGGACACGTTTGCCCTCTACCCTGATATATTCCCGGCTTCCTGGCGACCGATGCTTCTCTCTCCTCTAATTTGTCCTGGATCTAATCCGTTCGTAGTGCCCTCGAATATCGTGGGATGTCGCGACCTCCCTCGGGAGCCAAGCTAGGGAGACGCCGTGTTTGCGCATACACCCACTTCACAACCAATTGTTTTTAATCTTCCTCGACGAGAGAACTCGCAAGATTACGCGTCCTCGTACCTCGAATTGACCGACACTCCGTGAACGCTCTTTATTGGATTTAATATCGAGCATGATTTAATAATCGAGGAAGAAGTCGATTAGGCTGTTGTTGTCGGATTTGATCGATTTTTTCGAACGACGCATCCGTGCGCGTCTATCTATCAGTCGTAAAGAAATATTTCACAACTTGATCCAAAGATGGCGAATATCCTCTAACGAAATTCGCCACTCGAAAGCCTCTCCCAAACTTTCCCCATTTTCCAACGCGAAGCGTACATCAATTTTTAAAGTTGCATCCAAACGACGAAAGCGTGAACATCAAACGGGGCTTCGAAGAACCCAGCCAACCCCCTTCCCTCGTCCCCCGATCGTTGCGATTACGCGCGGCGGAACACAATCATCCGCGAAAGTATCCTCCTCCTCCTCCTCCTCCTCCTCCTCCTCCTCCCTCTTCTTCCCCCGAAGCGTTGTCAGGAGCGGCGATAAAAGGAAGAAATCCAACAACTTCAGAGAAAACTTTGCGGTCTACTCGGCAAGAAGTAGAGAGAGAGAGAGAGAGAGAGAGAGAGACTTTGTGCGCACACAGATCCAGCCGGAGAGGCAGCTCTCGAAACACCCTCTCGCGTGAAAACAGTGGTAGTTTCCTGGCTAAATATATTCGTACGCATCACGCGTACGTACACCTCGAGACCGGGCAGGGTTGTTTCGCGCACCGATACAAACCAACCCCTACGAGCCGATTACACCAAGATTCCATCGCACATCCACGCACGCGTTCACGCCGG